GACCTGTGGGTGAAAATTGCAAAGAGTTGAATTTCAGCTTGATAAAAGGATAAACTTCTGTCCAGAAGTGGAATGATTCATCTGTTTCAGAGCACAATGAATTCCTCAGCCACTTTAAGGATCTGAGATGCAGAGAATTGAGTTGAACTGGGTGACTCCTTATAACTCTAATACTCTGTGATTGATTTTTTTTTTTCATTTAGTGTTTGGAAAGTATATTTCCTCTTTTGTCATCATTTAATTGTTCCCATAAAATGTCCAGTCAGTAATTACATTCTATGTGCCAGTAACTGCACTAAGCACTAGAGGTACAAAGAAGGGCAAAAGAACCCCTCAAACCACCCCCCCAACCCCCAATCAGCTTCTTCTCTTAAGGAGTATATACAGTTTAATGGGGGAAATAGCATGTACATATTAAGATATATACAGAATAGATGGGAGGTAATCTGAAGGGGAAAGGTATTAATAGCTAAGGGGTGGTGTCAAGAAAGGTACCCGAAGACAGAGAATTGAACTGAATTTGAGCTGAATCTTGAAGCAAGCCAGGGAAACCAAGAGGCAGAAGTGAAGAGGCAGTGAATTCCATGTGTTGAGGGGTAGCTATTGCAATGGTGCACAAATGGGAAGTGGAGGGTCTTGTTTGAGGAACTCCATGTAGTCCAAGGTCACTGGGTCATTGAGTGTATAGAGGGGAGTAAAGTGTAAGAAGACTGGAAAGGTGGGAAGAGGGCAGCTTATGAAGAATTTTGAATGCCAAACAGTTTTTATTTGATCATGGAAGTAATAGGGAGCCACTGGAACTCTTTGAGCGGGAGAATGACACGGTCAGACATACGCTTTACAAAAATCACTTTGGCAGCTGAGTGGAGGATGGATTGAAATGAGAAGAGACTTGAGTCAACTAGACGGCAATTGCAATAGTTCAGGTAAGAGATGATGAAGATTTGAACTAGGGTTGTGGCTGTGGAGAGATTTGGCAATAGATTGTGTATAGGGATTGAGTGAGAATGAGGAATCGAGGATAACACTGACGATGAGAGCCTGGGTGACCGAGAAGATGATGGTTCCTGGACAGTAATGGGGACATTTGGAAGGGTGAATGTTTGGGGAGTAGAGGGGGGATGGAGGGCCCAGTAATGAGTTCTGTTTTAGACATGCTGAGTTTAAGATGCCTATGGGACATTTTAAAAATTTGTTTGTTTTTGACCAGGCAGTGGGGTTAAGTGACTTTCCCAGGGTCACACAGCTAGTAAGTGTCAAGTGTCTGAGGCCAGATTTGAACTCAAGTCCTCCCGACTCCAGGGCCAGTGCTCTATCCATTTTGCTACCTAGCTGCCCCCAGGACATTCTTTTGGAGATGAGTGACTGTAGCTTGAGAGAGACTAAGGCTGGATATATAGATTCCTAAGCAGCATTATCTACAGAAGTGATAACAGAAAGTGTGGGGAACAGATGAGATCACCAAGTGAGCAAAAAGAAAAGGGAACCCATGACAAATGTGTGGAGTACACTCCTAGTTTGTGAGTATACCATGGATGGCAGCCTAACAAAGGAGACTGAAAAGATGGGAGAAGAGACTAGCTCCATGAAAACTAGATGGGACAGAGTATCCAGGGGAGAAGATGATCAGTAATGTCAAATGCTACAGAGAAATCATGAGGATGAGGATTGAGAAAAGGCTGTTTGTATTTGATAATAAAGAAATCATTGATAACTTTAGAGAGAATGTCAGTTGAATGATGGAATCAGAAACTAGATTGCAGAGACACTCATTGTAGGCAACTTTTTCAACGATTTTAACCATCAGGTGGGGAGGAAATATTGGGCAATAGTTAGCAGGGACGGTTGGATCAAGTGAGGGTTTTTAAGGCTATGGAAAGCTTGGTCATATAGGTAGGTAGAGGGAGAGATGGAAAATAAATGGAGATGATAATAGATAATTTGCTGGAGGTGGAATCAAGGGCACTTACAGAGGAATTTGCCTCGGCCAAAAGGACCACCTGTTCATTCTTGCAATTTCTGTTTTGCCCTCTGGTTCTAAAATATCAGGACAGTTTTCCTTGATCATTTCTTGAAAGATGATGTCTAGGCTCTTTTTTTGATCATGGCTTTCAGATAGTCCAATAATTTTTAAATTCTCTCTCCTGGATCTATTTTCCAGGTCAGTTGTTTTTCCAATGAGATATTTCACATTGTTTTCTAATTTTTCATTCTTTTGGATTTGTTTTACAGTGTCTTGATTTCTCATAAAGTCACTAGCTTCCAATTGCTCTATTCTAATTTTTAAGGAAGTATTTTCTTCAGTAATCTTTTGGACTTCCTGTTCCATTTGGCCAGTTTTGCTTTTTAGGGCATTCTTCTCCTCATTGGCTTTTTGGACCTCTTTTGCCATTTGGGTTAGGCTCATTTTTAAGGTGTTATTTTCTTCAGTATTTTTTTGGGTCTCCTTTAGCAAGCTGTTGACTTGTTTTTCATGATTTTCTTGCATCACTCTCAGTTTTTTCTCTACTTCTCTTGCTTTTCAAAATCCCTTTTGAGCTTTTCCAAAGCCTGGGACTGATTCATATTTTTCTTGGAGGCTTTGGATGTAGGAGCTTTGGCTTTGTTGTCTTCTTCTGTTGTATGTTTTGATCTTCTTTGTCACCAAAGTAAGATGATATAGTCTGATTATTTTTGCGCAGCTTACTCATGATCCCAACCAATTACTTGAGTTTTAAACTCTTTGTTAAGGTAAAAGTCTGCTTCCAATGTGAAGAGTGTACTGTCCCAAGCTTCAGGGGTTTGTACAGCTGTTTTCAGAGGTACTTCTGGAGACCTGTAAATTTTCAGTTCTTCCAAGGTGCTATGATAAGGGGCGAGGTGTTTCCTCTCCACCACCACAAGCTCCACCACACCAGTGTTCCTTTTTGCCCAAGGACCGCACCTCAGAACTGTGACCCAGATCCAAGCACTGGTAAAGTAAGAGATTTCTGCCTCAGCCCTGGCAAAGAGATCCCTGCAATCCCCCTCTGATCATCCACTCCATTGCCCCTCAGTCTGTGGGCCAGAATCTGCGGAAAAAGCCGTGGCCTCGGGCCGAGCTCAAGACTTGCAGCTGAGACCTGGCTCCTCTCTCACCACAGTCACAGACTTTTCTCACTGACTTTCTAAGTTGTCTTTGGCGTTCCTGGGTTGAGAAGTGTGGAAACCGCCACAGTTGTCCACCATTCAGTCCTCTGAGGCCTGCTCCAGGGTCGCTGCAGCCTGCGCGCTCCCTCCAAACTGAGCTCCTCTCCCTGCCCAGCGTGATATACCTTTCCAATCAACCATCCAGGCTGTCTTTGGCTGGAAATGTGTTTCACTCTGTCTTTTTGTGGGTTCTGCTGCTTTACAATTTGTTTAGAGCCATTTTTTTAGGGGTTTGGAGGGGTTTGGGGGAGAGCTCAAGACAGTCACTGCTTTCCCTCTGCCATCTTGGCTCTGCCCCCAGGACCACCTATTCATCTGAGACCATAGTGAAGGAGGATACAGTGGAGGAAGATGTCTGAATAATAGAAGATGAGAAGTGGGGGAGCGCTTGGCTAATTGCCTCAATGTATTCTGTGAATTATGAGACAAGGTCTTTAGCTGAGAAGGTTGGGGAAGAAAGAGGGTACCATAGGTGGCTCGAGGAAAGAACAAGAAGATTTGGACCATTCACTGAGGAGTGTTGTTGCTGTTGCTGTTGCTTTGTAACAGCAGCATTTAATTTCCAAGTGCTGAGGCAGCTATCCTTTTCGAAGGAATGTGTACCTACAAAAAATTTATATTATCTTCTCTTGCCAGGACCCCTTACCACATTAAAGCCAACATTGTCTTTTTCATTGGTTCTTTATACTGCTTTCCTCAGTGTTAAACTGCCTCTGCCAACCACCCCTGGCATTTATTTAGTTGAAGGATTTTGATTTAAAACGTGCAGTTTTCAGAAATTCTCTTGAGTACATTTGAAGTAAGCATTAAATTAGAAATTATCTCGAGTTATTCGAAGTTCTTAAATTAGAACTTGTCTGAGATATCTGCCCTTAATGACAAATAAATATGTAATTTAGGAAAAAGTTTTATTGATGTCTTTTTTTGAGGGGGGGTTAAATGTTGTTTAATCACATTTATTTCCCAGTATTACTAACCTACTTTTTGAATACATTAAAACAACTCAAGTAAAACTGACTAAGGGAGTGACAATTGGATGATCAGCATATGTCACAACCCTCAGCTATCATCCTGCTCATGTCATATATCTTGGTTGGATAGGAGGGACCATATTGTTTTGCTCTTGGGGTATGTTCTCCTGCTTATTTCTCTCTGCTTTCTTTCCTTTGTTTCTATGACTTGTTCATATTTGTTTCTTAGGGAGCATTTAGAATTGATTATATTCATATACTATAATTTGTTGAGCTACTCTCCAGTTGAAGATTTGCTTTGCTTTTATTTTGCTACAGCAAAAAAGCTGTGAATATTTTGGTGTGGGGTCATTCTTTAGTTGTTGACTTCTTTGAGGCAGCAAGATGGCATAGTAGACAAATCACTGGACTTAGAGTCAGGAAGACCTGAGTTCATATTTGGCCTCAAACATTTTGTAGCTGTGTGACCCTGGCAAGGCACTTGACCCCTGTCTGCTTTAGTTTTCTTATCTGTAAAATGGGGATAATAATAACACCTACCTCCCTAGATTGTTGTGAGGATAGAACCTTAAAGAGCTTTGTAAATGCTAGCAAGTGATGATAATGATAATGATGACGGTGACGACGATGATACAGGCAAGTATTGGAAGCATTGGGTCAACTTAAACTGTTGCTGACCAAGTCACTTAATTTCTACTTTTTTACCTATAAAATATGAGTGATACTTTCCTTATCTTCTTGACAATGGCCTGGTGATACTAAAATGAGATAGTGTTTGTGAAAGCACTTTGTAAAATATAAAGTACTATATAGATTATTGTTGTCATTATGATTCATATATGATTTTTATTATTATTATAGCTTTGGGACAGCAGCCATTTATTTCCAAATGCTGAGGAAGCAACCCTTTTCCTAGGAACACTGGACACCATTTTTCTCTTCTCTTACGCTGTGGTAAGTTTTAAAATTCCTAGTATGGGGAAATTGAGGGAAGAAGTGGAGGGCAGTGACTCCTTCATTGAAGTTTGGTGTTTTGAATTTGAGCAGTTTCCATTTGTCAGTGATAGTTATTATCCTCCCCATTTTCTTTCTTAGCATATAACCAAGAATTCTTTGTATACTAAGGCAGTTTTTCTCATCTTGGGCAGTTGGAATCCTCAATGAATCCTTTTCAGTTTTTCAGAGGCACTTGGTGAACCTATCTGTGGGGTTTTGAAAAACAATTTAGTGTTGCCATTACATTGGCGGTGACCTCTGTCAATAGAGTGCAATGGCTTTCACGTTTTTGGGCTTCCTTACTTAACTATGTGATCTCCTGAGATGTTGAGGAGATCAGCATTTTACTTTGGATGGCCAGGTCATGGGAAATGTTGGATAGGAGTTTTAGAGTAATCTCTAAATGTTTTTGTTAATATGGGTAGTTTCTATAGTGTCTTTTCTTGGAAGAGCAAAATACAGACTTAGAGTTGAAAGGGATCTTAGAAGTTGTCCAGGCCAAATTCTTAGGGAGAACAGGAATCCTTTCTACAGTACAACTAATAGATTGTCATCCACTTTTTCCTTTGACACATACAGTGATGGAGAACCTAGTCTATTTATGAACAGCTTTCATTGTGATAGGGAGTTCTTTACATTCATCTGAATTGGCCTCCTTAAAACTTCCAGTTCACCAAAATTTTGTGACGTTGACCTGGGCAGTCTAGCCTTAGGATGAAGTTTAAAGTTATTTTAGTGCATCATTTGCTGTATCTGTTTGCATCTGAAGCACTTAGCAACTTGTGACTACTTAGTTTTACTCTTGTTCAAAGCTTCTAAATAAATATTTCCTTTTTTTAAGGGTCTTTTCATCAGTGGTATAATTGGGGATCGGTTTAACATGCGATGGGTTCTATCATTTGGCATGTGCTCCTCTGCAGTAGTGGTAAGTCTGAAAAATCCAGTGTTTGGGTAAATGCTTTTCCAGATAGAGATAGTTCATCCAGTTCCTGTCTCTGCCATATATAACCTTTTGTAAGAACATATCTTGGTTCCAGATTTTTTTTTTTTCCCTAGAGGCTATTTTTATTTAAACAGACCCTGATTTAGTCTTAACTGTGAATGTGTCAATTGTTACTTATCTCCTTTCCTGCATCCTTTTCCTATCCCAAAGTACTGTTTTTCATAAACTGTAGCTATATTCTTTTCAAGTCCTTTTGAGCCCATACATGTAATTATATGATTTTCCAGAAATATCCGCTATCTGGTTTTTATTAGTAATTCACTCATCCTTTTGAAATATATGTTACTTTGCATATTCATGTAATTATAATTGATGATGTCTGGTTTTAAATCGAGAAAGTCAAATTTGAGGCATCTTTAAAAGATTTAATAGGCTCCAAATGTAGGCCATATGTTTAGTTTATTCCTCCTATTTTCAAAATCTACAAAATTCTTAAAAAGCTTGATTCTCTTTAGTACTTGTTTTTTGTTATGGAAGTATAATACATCTCTATTTTAATGTGTTTTAGGTATTGTTTGAGTTGTTGAAGGAAATGTAGGTGTAAAGGAGTAAAAAGTAGACTGGCAATAAAAAAGTAGATTGCATTCAGTTGAAAGTATCTGGTAATATATCAGAAGAAACTGATGGTGTGGTTGTTTTTTTTTCCCCCTAGAATTACCTGAGTAAAGTAAACAAATGACAACTAATTGCTAGAATGTAATTCTGTCACATTTCATAAGTTAATCAGTGTCAAATTAAACTGTATGATTATATTCAAATGGAATTGTGCTCTAATGTATGTGGATGTTCCCTCCAGTGACTAAGATTGAAACCCATGCATGTCTGTCCATCTAGTGGCTTTTTTGTCTTTGTCCTCTCATGTACTTCACTGTGGATCCATCTAGAGTGATGAGCGCTGGCAACCATCCTCAATTTCTTTTTAAATCAGAAATACACTAGTGGAGCCTGGAGGTTTTTCACTAGTTTTCCTTCATTTTGCTGTGTCAGCAGCCCATCTTCTCTTTCAATAGTACATCGAATTTGTATTATTAGTAAATTTTAATTTGTTTCATAAGAAATTGGGGTTTTAATTGAAAGTTTAAGTGGGAATACTATGATATTTCACTCTTGTTTATAAGGTTGACTCCTGATTGTTCAGGGTAGTTTTTTAAGTTGATGACTTTGAACATTTTCCAGGGCAGTTTCCTGCAAGTGAGTATCAAAATCAGGGGGTGTATAGCTACATTTGAATGATATGAAACAGGTTAGATTAAGTTAGGAAGATGGAAACAAAACATGAGAAGACTGACATAGGCATGATTACTTCATGCAGAGCATGAAGAGAAGAGCAGAGAGAAAGTATATAATAATTTTTCACCATTTTGAGTTTTACATTGTTTGACTTTATTAATCTCTCTATAGTCAGTGATCAGTTGTGTTTGCGCCAGTCATAGCTGGCTTCATATAGTAACACCTGAGATTTGGTTACATGTCCTTCAGGCGTTACCTCATTAGGCAGTGATACTCAGATGGTTCTCCTTGCTTAGCAATATGAGATGCGCCAAGTAGAAAATGTGAAATTTTGTTTTGGTTGTATTTAAATTATCATTTGGTAATGTCATAATTCTGCTGTCTTCTTTGTTTTCTCTTCTAAGGAATTTTGCTTTGGCACCCTCACAGAATGGCTTCATTTCTATAACAAATGGTTCTACTGTTCCTTGTGGATTTTGAATGGCCTGCTGCAGTCCACTGGTTGGCCATGTGTTGTTGCAGTAATGGGCAACTGGTTTGGGAAAGCTGGGTGTGTGCCACTTTCTTCCCTTTTAATTTTCTGTTAAAGTATTTTATAAAGTAAATTATCCAGACTTGTAAAAACTCACCTACTATGGCTTCCTCATCTTTTACCATTAGATACATGTAGAATCACATACCCTACTTTGCCAATAGGAAGTACAGAGATAGACAAGATACTTAAACTTAGATTGCTGAATATATATGCCTTAATACATTGCCCATATTTGGATCTGAATAGAATAGAAAATTCTTTAAACCTAAAAAAAAGCTAGTGCCTGTTATTTGTCTGGGGGAAACATACTAAATTATCTTATGGGCCTTCTAAGTACTCTAGTTTGATCAACCCAAATTAGAACTTGATTTTAGTTTTTCTTATTGCTTGCTAGTGAATTCCATTCAGAGACTGTAAAAGTCATTCAAATTTTGGGATTAAAAAAATGTAACATTTCTGCATCTGATATTGTCATTTGTAAGCTGTTTCCACATGTTTTAAATAACATGTAATTTAAGTAACTTTCTGGATAGGGAACATAGTAGCTTAATGTACCAAGTATAGGCTCTCAGCAAATGTGTTAAGTATTTTTCCAGTCTTGAAAACTCCATTTTTAGAACCTGAAAATCAAGGTAAATAGTACCTGCTTTGTAATTATTGTTATGGTTGAGAAATAACAAACATTACTTTTATCTTACTGACTTTTAGTTGAATAATAACTTTTGCAATAATAGAATGAACTACTGGTTGTTGAGTCAAACCAACTCTTCTTATAAGTGGTTTAACGAAACTGCTTTGTCAATAGTCATTTTCTTAGAACAATCTAGCTTTTTGTTTTGTTTTGAATGTGAAAGAGTAGAACTTGCTTTTATAAGCCTAGGTAGGAATATTGACATGTATCTTTAGTTTCACTGCTAGGAGATGCTAGCAGGTATGAGATGTTTTATAGCTAACTGAGCACCCTGAAGAATTTGTATGGCCCAGACCAACGGAGGAAACATCAGAGACATACTGTTTACAAAAAGTCGCTTAAGCAAAAGTGAAACACTTTATTAATTTCCTTTACATCTCACCTGATTGGAGGAGGGGGGAAAGATGGACACATTCTAAATTTAGTGGTCCATTAAAGGACTGTATTGCTACTTTACATATTTAATAAATATCCCATAAATAAATACCTATGTTACTTAATATTCATTAGTATTATATAGTTGTATTGATTTTAAAAGTCTACTTTATTACATTTGTTAAAAAGAATAAAATTAACAATTTTATGGGAATATATTGGAATGTATTACATAATATATTTTTTAAATCTTAAAATTAAATTTATGGTGAGGGAAGTCATTGTGGTATTTGCTAATGTGTATTTAATAGTCACATAGGATCCTCTTCTAATCTTAATCTCTCCTAGACGTGGAGTTATTTTTGGTCTCTGGAGTGCTTGTGCCTCAGTGGGCAATATTTTGGGAGCGTGTCTCGCGTCTTCAGTTTTGCAGTATGGGTATGAGGTGAGTATTGCTTTTATCAAAGGAGCTTCCAGGGAGGAGTCACAATATTATATTTGGTTCATCTTCTATATGTATTTAAAACTTTAACTCTGGTAGGTCCCATATTAGAAATTGATCAGTTTGTAAATGAGCTATCGCATTTCTGCCACTGAATGATTCTTTTTGCAGTCGGGCACAGTGAAAAAATTTGTCTTTTAAGTCTGCCTTCATGTTAGGCTTTTCCCTTGGACTTCTATTTTTCCATTGTACCTAGATTACCCTAAATGTTTCATGTAGAAAGCTCAAACATCTTGAAACTCCACATTTGATTATTGAACGCAGTTTTTCTCCATTCTCTAGGATAATTTATTTTTCTCTTTCACTATCCTTTTTCTTATGCTCTTTAGGAATTCATTTTCTCCAAGCACTCATCTGTGATCTTCTACTCTTCTTTATCTACTTCTTTGTAAGCATATCCCTTCTGTATCTTCAGCTGTCATCTCAATGATGAAATCTACATTTTAAACTCATGTCACATATTTATGCAATCTCTGTTTGGATGTCCTACTGTTATCACCAACTCACCATATGTGAAAACTAATCCTCCTCCGTAAACCAGTCACTTCCTCATTTCAGTCACTCTGGCTCAGTATTTTGGAGTGAAATTTAATGCCTTCCTCTCTTTTTCCATTATTTTCAGTTAATAACAAAGACTTACCAATCCTTTCTTCATAATTTCAGCACTATTTTAGAAATTTTAGTTGCATTAATTTTTTTAAATTGATAGGCATTTTCTTTCACCTCCTTCTGTTAAACAAAAAAAGAAAGAAAATTAAAACCCTCGTAGCAATTACATGTAATCAAGCAAAGCAGATTCCGTAATTGGACATGTACAAAAATGTATGTGTCATTCTGCATTTCAAGTCCATTACTTCTCTGGCATCTAGTGAGTGGCATGTTTCATTTTTTTATCTTCTATAACCGCAGTTTGTCTTTGCATTGATCAGAGTTCTAAAGACTTTCAAAGTTGTTTTTTCTTTGTGATGTTATTCTTCTGGTTCTGCTCGTTTTTTTTTTTGTTTTTGTTTTTGTTTTTTTTGCATCCATTCATACACATCTTCCTAGTTTTCTCTGAAATTTTTCATTTTTAGTTTGTCAGTTCTTATGGTACAATAATATTCTGTTCCATTCACATACCATAGTTTGTTTAGCCATTCCCTAATACGAGGAAAGGTTAGTTTCCCATTTTTGGCTATTCTGAAAAGAGTTGCTATAAATAGACCCTTTTCCTTTTTCTTTGATCTCTTGAGGTATAGGTCTAGTAGTGTTATCTCTGGGTCAGTGAAAATTAGTCAGCAAACATTTATTAAGCACCTACTATGTACCAGGAACTATGCTAAATGCTGGGGATGCAAAGAAAGGCCAAAAATAATCTCTTCTCTCAAGGAGCTCGAAGTCTAATGGGGGAGACAAAATGCAATCAACTGTATAAACAAGCTACATATACAGGATAAAAAAGGAGAAGAAGGATTTTTACTGTATTTAGCTGCAATTATTTCCTTTGTTCCTTTACTTACTGAATGAGATTATCATAAAAATACCAAAAATTAAACTGTTATAAAAATACCCAATAATAAATCAAAGCACTGGTGAACACATACATGATATGTAGGAGGCCATAGTTATAAGACAAGAATAAAAATACTTAAAGGAGAAATTGTACTTGTTAGGAAGTTTTAGTAAAAAGATTCCTGACTTCTTCACAGAGAATAAGGAAACAAATAGTGGCAAGTTTACCAGCAACTCCAACAGGATACAAGATGACTTTAAAAATAGATAAATAGGTTTTTGTACTGAGGGCTGATGAGCCACGTCATAAAGATAGTTGAACTTAATTGGACCCATTCACAAGTATAGAAGTAGATACCATTCCATTTGAACAGTGCGACTTTCTCCAGCAGAACAAATATCTGGAAATATTTACAGTTTAGAGACTTATGGAGCATATTTCCAAAATACTTCCCAGAACTGCTAGACTATCTCACAGCTCTATCAGCAGTGCACTAGTGTGTCTGTTTTTCTGCAGATTTTCCCAGTTGTCATTTTCCTTCGTTATCCTCTTTGCCAGTCTTATGCATATGACATCGAACCTCAGAGTTCCTTTACTTTGCATTTCTCTAATAGTGATTTGGAGCATTTTTTTAATATGGGTATTGATAGCTTAGATTTCTTCCTTTGAAAACTGCCCATTCAGTATCCTTTCTCCAATGGAGAATGGATGGCACCACTGTTTCTTGTTTTATCAGATTGTTTCATGGTTAGTGTAATGGCTTCCTAATTCATCTTTTGGCTTCTAGTCTTTCCTTCACGGAGCCACCTGTTCTCCACTATGGAATTGGCAAATTAATAATAATAAGTAATTTGCATAGTGTTTAAAGGTTTGTAGATCCCTTTACAGTAGCTCTGTGAGGTAGCTAGTGCAAATAGTATTATTCCTATTTTGCAGATGAGAAATTTAAGACTCACAAGTTGTGGCTTGTTCATGCTTACAGAGCTGATGAGTATCTGAGGTGGGATTTGCCAACAGCCAACCTGATTGAAAGTCCTTTACAATAAATCCTTTCACGTTGCCATTATACTTTTCAACATAGCATTTCTCTTCCTTAAAAACTCTAAAATTCAGATAATGGTCTCTAATCTAAGTACAGGACTATTCTTCCTGGCCTATTTAGCCTTCTGTCTTACGCTGCCATCTTTCTTAGTCTACTTTATACCCCAGTATTCTCCAACATAAATGCTCTATTCTACCCAGTTTTATCTGCCCGCTGTCTCTTTCTTCCATTCACTTTGTTCATTTCTTTCTCTGTTATTTTGTGTTTATTTGTCTGCTTATGCTTTGGGCCACAGAGCTGAGCTCTGCTCTGAGTCCTGGATCTTTCATAAAACCTTTTCTTGTTACATTGATCAGTAATCATATTTCAAGCTTTTGAATTTCTATTGAATTACTGTATATGCTCCATAATCTGGCCATGGAGGTTCTTAACCTTTTTTTGTGTGTCATGGATCCTCTAGACCTGAAGCCTCTGGACTCCTTCTTGGAATAATGTTTTTAAATGCATATATATGTATTTAGTTACAAAGGAAAGCAATCATATTGAAATACAATTAGGTTGAGATCTGTCTTATATTATTCTCTTTCGTGTGTTACAGTTCCTGTCTCATAAAATTATTATGTAAGGTTGAGGGCAAGAATTCAATTTTTTTGAGTTTCCCAGAGGACCTAGCATAATTTTGAATACAGTATATTTGCTTAATAAATAACTTGTGGGTTTATAAGAAGATATTTTTATTTTTTCTCTTCTAGTATGCCTTCTTGTTAACGGCGTCAGTACAATTTGCTGGTGGAATTGTTATCTTCTTTGGGCTTTTGATATCTCCAGAAGAAATTGGTAAGGAGAAGTAGTCTGATTTGTTCAGAGCTCCTTGCTGTTAGGGGAAGTTCAAGGCAGGGATTTTAAGTACTTATTTTCCTAGGAAGGAAAAATTATGAAATCTGGTCTACTGATTGGGGGCCCAGTTTTTGTTTGCTGTAAAAATTGTGACACTGCCTCTTTTGGTGGTGATGAAACAACAGAAAGTCACCATTGGTACACAGAAGAATCAAAAGGTGATCCTGATTTGCGATTTGCAAATTCTTAAGATAGCAGTAAGGAAGTAAACAGTTTTCCATATCCCTCCAATTAGGACTTCCAGTTTACCTATTAGGACTTTTTATAAGGACCACAAATATAACTTATCTTTATTTTCGCACAGGGCTAAGTACTGCACAAACACAGCCTAACCAGAAACTAGAGGTGCCTCTGTGATCTATTTGCTGAAGAACGTTTGTCATTAGGAAGTAATTTGTTTCACTTCCACGTAGGAATGGTATTGGTAACTGTTAAACATTATCCAGAAAAGACCCAAACATAACCTCAACTCTATTTCTACCAAGATGGGTCATTCTAAATATCTTAAAGGCATAAGATACTTTTTTTTGCTTAACAGTCATGGGACCATAGGATTTAGAACTGGAAGAGACCTTGAATGTCATCTAGTTTAGTCCTCTCATTTTTATAGATGAAGAAACCAAAGTCCAAAGAAGTTGAGTGACTTCCAGGATAACACAGGGAGTCACGAGCAGAGTGGAGACTCAAATCTAGGTCCTTTGGCTCTGAAGCCAATGTGCTTTCCATTGCACTGGACTCAATTAGGTAGTCAGCAACCATGTATTAATCACCTGCTGTGTGACAGGTGTCATACTGAGTACTGGAGGGACAAAGAAAGGCAAAACCAATTCTTGCTCTTAGTGAGCTTACATTTTAATTGGGGAGATAGCATTCAGACAGCTATGTACATACGAGATATACATACAAACAGGGTAGACTGGAAAGAATCTCAGAGGGAAGGCCTTGCAGTAAGGGAGACCAGAGAAAGCTTCCTGTAGCTGAGACTCAAGACAGGAGCTGGAGCTAAGGAAAGCATTCAAGGCATCAGGGACAATCGGTGAAAAGGGACAGGGTCAGGAGATGGCATGTCTTGCAAGGAACATTAAGGACGCCAGTGTCACTGGATTGTAGAGTGTGTGGAGGCAACAGTACTGTGAAGAAGATTCAAAGGTAGCAAGGGCCTGGGTAATGAAGGGCTCTGAATGCCAAACAATATTTTTATGTGTGATCCTGGAGCCACTGGAATTAATTGAGTGGGGGCTGCTGCCTCTCATGTATCTATTTTGTGCTTACATATATGGATCTTTCCCAGTTGTATCATTCAGCTGTTTCAGGACCACAGCAATGAACAAAAAGGAAAATCCTGAACTAGAAAATGGAGTGTTCCTTAAAATAGTCCAGTTAAACTAGTTTATCGTTACTTCATCACTCCCTGGGAGTGCAAAGCATTCCCTTGGTGTAGGGTTCGTGAAATTCCAGGAATAAACCATCTTTTTAGGTCCCCTTTTTTTTCCCCCGTTTTTTTTTAATTAGGCAATTGGGGTTAAGTGACTTGCCCAGGGTCACACAGCTAGTAAGTGTCAGGTGTTTGGTCTGAGGTCGGATTTGAACTCAGGTCCTCCTGACTTCAGGGCTGGTTCTCTATTCACTGTACCACCTAGCTGCCCGTTTTTAGGTCTCTTTTTAAAAAATTAAATGTCTTATTAGGATCTTAACATTAAGCAACAATACAAATTATCTGGTTAGCTTAAGGGAACAGGGATAGCTCATCTATGTCAGACTGTTTAACATTTATTCAGTCACAACAGGCTAAAAGAAATAATGAGACACATACACTGCTTATCCTATAAATGTTTTGTCTTTTTAGAAACTAAATATAGTTTTATCTCACAATGACAAGCAAAGGCTTTCGAATTACATAATCAAGGGCACAAGAACAGAAAATAAGAACAATGAACATGCAAGATGAAAAGACTCCTAACTCAAGATTGTAAATTATTATACATTTCTGTAGACTTTAGCTGTTTATCACTTACTCATCTCATCCCTTAAAATGTGTATATTTAACATAAACTTCATTGTCCTTTTTTACCTATTTACAATGTGTATAATATGAATTTATTACTACTACTGTTGTCTTTAACAGGTATAGTTAATATATAATTCCCTTGGTTCTGCTTTTTTTTCATTCTAACTCACTTTAGCCAAGATTTCCTATTTAAAAAAATTATGGTAACTTAGCTTAATGTGTGTGTTTTTAAGGAGAAAGATCATAGTCAATATATAACTTTGTGCTTTGGGGCCATGTCTTTGTACATTTTAGGTCTTCCAGGGGTTGAGGAAGAAGAAAGTTCTGAAGATGACCCTTGTAGACCATTAATTAACAATACTGACAGTGAAGATCATGAGCCCAATTATTCAATTCAAGAAGTCAGTACAATCCATCAGCCCAAGGCAATCAGCTTTTACCAGGCTTGTTGTCTTCCTGGAGTTATGCTGGTAAGGGCCACTTCATCTATGTCTGCCCTTTGGTGTTTACCCTGAAGATCCAGCACTACCTGGCATTGAAACATCCTTAAGTACTTCTCTTTACAGTTGCCCCAGAAAGATTGGGATTTTTTTGCCTCTTCTACTTAAAAATTAAAACAAGAGATTGCATAGTGTTTTTTTTATGATGCATTCCAGTGTTGCCGTAGCCTTTGCAGTAGAAGGGAGTGAGGAAAACTTTTCCTAATATCTTAACTAAATCCCTTCTGCCACAGTTTTTCAGTCTTGATGTGGAATTTCAAGAACTGCAGTGGAAATAAGAGATCTAGGTTATGTTTCCAACTTGGCCTGCTGATTTTCTGTGTGGCCTGGTGTGGGCCACTCAATCTGTCCTTGCTTTTTAGTTCCACATTTTCCTTTACATATCATACTAAGTTATTTTCTTTTGAATTTTAGTGTGAGATTATGAAGCACATGAGCTTATTAGAATAAGAATACTTTATAAATATGAAGTAGTATTGCAGCTTTCCAAGTAACCTCAATGTTTACAAATGATTCGTTAACTATTAATTAGTTAATAATTATTATTTACCCTTTTCACCAGACAGTGGTAACAAATATTTTCACCGAAATTGTTAAGTATGAATTAGTGCATAAACAAATTTACATAATTGACTGGTGATAATTAAATGTGATAATATATGTATTATCTTTGCAAACCTTAAAGTGTTATATATGTAATTATTATTATTGTTATGTTGTTAGTGATGATAATATTGGAAATAAAATAGAAAGAGGTTTTTTTTTTTTTTAGGCCAGCTTCCCAACCCAACCACTTAATTTTGTTTTTTTTAGATATCGTCCCATTAGTCAACTCACACCCCTGCCTTCTGTCTATGTATAGTCCTTCTTACTGCCCTAAAGTTCTTAAGAGTTAAGTATCATCTTCCCCTGAAGGAATTAAACAGTTTAACCTTATTGAATCCCTTATGATTTCACTTTCCTGTTTACCTTTTTATGTTTCTCTTTGAGTCTTATATTTGAATTGTTTCTTTCTGGCTGCTTACAGTATTTTCTCCTTGACCTGGGAACTCTGAAATTTGGCTATAATATTGCTGGGAGTTTTCATATTGAGATCTCTTTCTGGAGGTGATGGGTAGATTTTTTTCAATTTCTATTTTACCCTCTGGTTCTAGAATACCAGGACAGTTTTCCTTGGTAATTTCTTGAAATATGATATCTAGGCTTTTTTTGATCATGGCTTTCAGGTAGTCCAATAATTCTTAAATTATCTCTTCTAGGGACTGCTGAGTGGCACAGTGGATAGAGCACTGGCCATGGAGTCAGGAGGACCTGAATTCAAATTCGGCCTCTGGACACTTAACTAGCTGTATGATTCTGATTAACCTTGATTGCCTCCCTCCCCCCCCCAAAAAAAACCAAAAACAAAAAAAAAACTCGCTAAATAAATACTTTCTTCTGGCTCTGTTTTCCAGGTCACTTGTTTTTCCAACGAGATATTTCACATTTCCTTCTGTTTTGTCATTCTTTTGATTTTATTTCTTGATGTTTTATGGAGTCATTAGCTTCTACTTGCCCAGTTCTAATTTTTAAGGAATGATTTTCTTTAGTCATCTTTTGTACCTCCTTTTCCATTTGGCTAAATCTACTTTTTAAGGAATTATTTTCTTCAGTGAGTTTTTGTACGTCTTTTTCCATTTTTTTTTGTGTGCTTCCTTTACCAAGCTGTTGACTCTTTTTTCGTGATTTTCTTGCTCCACTCATTCTTCTCATCACCCATTCCCAGTTTTTCCTCTACCTCTCTTACTTGATTTTTAAAATCCTTTTGAACTCTTCTGGGAATTCTTTTGACCCACATTTTTCTTTGAGGCTTTGTTTATAGTCTGACAAACTATTCTGAGTTTGTGTTTTGAGCTTCCTCGTCACCATAGTAACTTTATGTGGTCGAGTTTTTTTTGTTTTTTGCTTATTTTCTAACCTATTTGGTGACTTAAAGTTTAGCTCTGCTCCTGGGGTGGAAGGGGCCACTGTGTCAAGCTTCAGGTTTTTGTGATGCTTATTTTCAGAGCTAATTCTGGGGACCTGTAAGTTTTCAGTTCTTCCACGGTAGTATTACCTAAGGAGAGGTGTGGTCTATGAGTGACCACAAGCACTCATTTCCACCCTAGAACTGTGACCAGGATCCCCCACTGCCCTACATTTGCAAGCTCTAGAGTGCTAGTATTTCTCCTTACCCTGGGACTATGACCCAGGCCTGTGACCTAGATCCCTGTATGGCCAGTGTAACAGAGTTCTGCCCCCAGTGCCAGCAGAGTGTCCCTTATAATCTCCTTCTGACCAGTTGTCCAGGCCCCTTATCTTCTGTGGGCTGAGAGCTCCAGAAAGTCAGATGCCCCCAAAGCCCGGACTGGCTTGCTGGAGCAGGACATTACTGCTGGCTTGTGCTGGCTGGCTTACTGCTGCTTACCCAGAGCTGCCTGCACTGGGCTGTGCTCTACTCTCACCCCAGTGAGAGAAACCTTTCCTGTTGACCTTTTAAGCTGTCTTGGGCTGGAAAATTGTTTTACCCCATCCTTTTGTTGGTTCTGCTGCTCTAGAATTTGTTGTGAGGGATTATTTTAAAGTTGTTTGGAAGGGAATTTGGGAGAGCTCAGGCGAGTTCCTACCTTTGCTCTACCATCTTATGCTAAAATTTCTAAGTGTTATTTCCTGTCGGTTCACTCATTCATGTAATTTAAATTCAGAAAATGATTTAATTTGCTCATGACTAAATAGCAAACCCTTCTGCTATATTATATGTTCTTGACAGACTTTTGTTTCAGTGGCTACAGATACAAGGATATAAAGGGAGCCTAGTTAACCTCTATCCTTTGTGCTTGTGATAGCTGGTCTGGATAAAATGATGAGGATGCCTTGGTTTTGGCTGGGGCAAGGGATTGGGGACGGGGGAATAAGAGGTGTAGTGGAAGAGAGCTTTATCCTCTAATGATGGAATAACTGGCTGCTATGAAAAGACTATGTAGGCCGGATGTGCTCTGAACTTAACCTGCTTATTCATCCTACCTTCTCCTTGGATGCCAAGTGTTAGTTTTTTCCAGTGGCCACTATATTGGATATTGAAATCCTAGCTCTAGCCCTATTTTAAGACAATTGCAACTTTTTTTCACCCAAAGGAGAGCCACATGACAGAAATTTTGTGCTCGGTTTGAAGAATTGGCAATTTGTTGAATATTTGCATTGTAAGCTTTTAGAAATTATTATGTGAAAGTATTTTTGATAACTTATGTTTAGGTGGTTGACTTGTGAACTTCATTGTTTAGTCATAATATCCAAGTGTAGGTATTATATAAGCTTTTTAGGAAATAGTCAATCAAAATACTTGGCTACTGATAACAGAAGCACTAAGGTTTGCTAGATGCATTTATCTGTGGCACATGCTTGCTATGGAGTACATACTACTTGTGTGTGTGTGTGTGTGTGTGTGTGTGTGTGTGTGAGACTGATCTTTCTGAATCAGATATACGTATGCCATTCCCCAAAGGCTCAAACCACTGGTGTGTGGACTCTTCCTAGAAGCCTGAAGGAAGGTAGTGGGGAAGGCCAAATGTGAAATAAGCATGTGTGTGTATCCTGTGCTAGTGATGCATCACATTCTCATACTTCTCTAGAAACTGGGGAAGTAAAGGAGTGTTGGGGAAGGGTGGGATAAAAATAGACGAACAGGGATTTGTAAAAGTGTTTAATTTCTAGTGCTATTGGACCCAGATTCCCTTAACACCACCATATGAAAAACTACCAAGTTCCTTTTTTGTGTTTTATTTCTTATTGGTTGCTGATTATTTTTTTCTAGTATTCCCTGGCCTATGCTTGCTTGAAGTTAGTGAATTACTCCTTCTTCTTCTGGCTGCCCTTTTATCTGAGCAACAACTTTAGATGGAAAGAGGCTGAAGCTGACAAGCTCTCTATTTGGTATGATGTCGGAGGAATTGTAGGTATGCTTGGAAAATGTCTTTTATTTCTTGTACTATGTTTAAAAAACAAACTTCTGGACATCATTTAAAAAGTAAATTTTTCATTTCATGCCCTGTTTTCTAGAAGGTCTTCCCACCTCTAGAAAATAGTCAAATCCTGCTTGGGGGGGGGGGGGGGAGTCTTCAAGACAGGAATAGTAGAATTAAAAGATCCCTGTGGTTTTTTTTGTTTTTGTCTGTTGTTGATTAAACTATTCCTCTGTCTTAGCTTGTTAGGCAATTTTTTTAAAAATTCATATTGTTCTTTTAAATGTAGTGGTTCCCTCCCTCCTATCCAATGTTGTTTCAGAGCAATATAGTTAAATCTTTTTTTAGATCAAAGGTAGAATGATTATAATTCATTTTTTTTAGCCTTCTCAGAAAAAGGCAAAATAATGGTCCACTTACAGATTATAGGAGAGGGAATAAAATAACAACAGTGGGGAACCTTCCTCTGTGTTCCACAGGGCCTTCATTCTGCACCTTGTTTTTAACGGGGTGAGGGTACTGGGCTCAGGTAGAAGTAAAAACAGCCCATAATCGTAGGCAAGGGCCTCTTTTCATAACAGTTGAAACATTTTTAAAGGGGATTACTGATACAATTAAAGCAGATCATGAGTGCCCTTTAGATTATGTTTTAATCTAGAATTGTGATAAGTCAGAAAGTACTTTGAGCATATAAAAGGAAACAACTCCAGTGGTGTCCTGTTCCATTTCAACTGCTTACACCGACTCTTAGGCCACAAGCCGAAGGGTTAGTTTTGCTCCTGACCCATGATTTGAAGTAGTGCAGCCTAACCTGCCGACAAGGAAATAATTGGATGAATTTATCTTCCAGAACTTGAAGAAGGTGTTTGTAAAAGTTGGATTTGATGGGTGTGGGTCACTTCAGCCCACCCTGCATCCTTGGGTTATGAACAACCCAACCATAATTGATGCACTTACATTTCTTGCTTGGTGGATTTTTATTGAACTGAGTGAAAAATAAAATTCAGGAGGAATATGCATTTGCTTTAGACAGATAGCAATTAAGGGCATTGCTTTTTATATTGATGATAGTGTCCATCATCATTAGTATTTATGGGAACTAAACATCCTAGGAAATTTTCACAAAAGAAGTCACCTATGAAGAAAGCTTTCTAAGAGCATAAGACGTATTTTTTAGATGAATAGGTTATAAATGGTTCTAATGATGAGACTTAACAGAGAAGAACAAGATATAGACTAGCCAAAGAAGACACAACTGAATAAAATTGAGCATGTTGGTAAAATGTATATATTTTCTGTACTTGAAGGTGGAACTTTACAGGGCTTCATCTCTGACATGCTACAGAAAAGAGCACCAGTGCTAGCTGGAAGTCTGCTTCTGGCAATTGGGTCCCTGGTCGGATATAGCCGTGAGTATACCTTGCACAAAATGTGTTTTTCTGGACTTTGAAGAAAAGGTATTAGCCTCTAGTCTGAGGCCAGTTTGGGGGAATTTGCCTTGAAGCAGGCTGCTACACGGGGATAATGTAGTGCCTTTGCAGCTGATTGTAAATGTCTGGAAAAACCATCATCATGTAGTTTTGTTTTTGTCTCAGAGGAAACTAGCATCTCATCTGCTTTGTGGATTTTTTTGAAAGAGCTTTCTTGCTAGCATACATGCTTTGTTTAAGGACAGGCTCCAGAGAGTCAGCATTGCTGCCAATAAAACAATAAAAGGGCCAGAGGTCTCCAAAGAGGAGAAATGTAATTAGTAGGTGTGGTATATGTGGTTGAAGATAATGTTAAGGTGGGAAGAGAGCTCCTTCTTGGTTTATAGAAGTTTTGTTGCGTATGACTTCCAACAAGAGGCAGAAGTTTCCCAGCCAGAAAGTGTGGGGCGGGGGGGGGGGGGGGGGGGGGGGGGCAGGATCTTATCAGTTTACAATCTCTGCTTGCAAGCTTCATGGAGTGTTAGGTCTTAGTGCTGTTGAATTGTGGCAGATGGAAGTCTTAAAAGCCAGTGTGTTAACAGAACATTCTCTCTTGCAGGTTCTCCAAACAATAAGACTGTTAATGCACTTCTAATGACTGTTACAGGTATGGTATGCTTGAGCAAGCTCATTCTAATATCAATATTAGATAGATGGTAATTGGACTATGTTACAAGTTTATTTAATAGTAACTGTTGATTTAAGTGAAAAGAAAGATGTGTAACTCATCCAGATTATGGTTCTGCAAAAGTAAAATGATTTGTCCATTTAAGGCACAAGATTCCCATTGATAAAGGACTAATCTCTGAGTTAGTAGTTTATTGATTTGAAGATTTTTCCCAGATCAGTTATTGCTGCCACAGATGTTGATGTTTCAGGAGAGACACCAGTCCTGCTGTGGGCTAAATAAAAGGAAATAACCTGCTGGGGACTTGAAGGGAAGTCATCACCCTCTAAACAGGAGGTGGGGAGAGAGGGGGATGGAAACTACTAAAAAAAAACACACTCATAAAAGCTTTCTAAGTAGTTTCACCTTTATGGAGACAGTGCCAGAGAGTCTCAGAGTTCCTTTGGGAAAATTTAAAGTAGGCTTCTATCTCAAATGATTTAATGAAAAAACATTTAATTGTGTATTATTGTGTATTGTGTGTATTGTGTATAATTGTGTATTCAGATACTTGTGTTAGAAATGCAAATTTTTTTAAAAGAGACATTTTTTGCCTGGGAGCTTATGTTCTATGGGAAAAGCGTAAGTGGGGAGAGAAGTGACTAGGGAAGAAAATTTTATTCTAGAGAATTGGAAAGTGGAAGAGGGAAGTATATGGAAGGTGTAGCTGACAGATGGTGAGCTTGGGTTGCTGAAGGAGATATGGAGCTGTCAAGTATGATCTGGGGTTCATTCAAACTCTTATTATGAGGATATACCTTTGCAAGACCCAGATTATTCTGTGACTTCGTAGTTTTGTCTTTTGTTATTTTAAATCCAGGTTGTTGTTTTTTTCTGCTCTCAGTCTTATGTATGTCTTTTAAAAAATCTAAATGAATAAATTCCCTTTGCATCCACATCAAGGTCTCTAAACATAGTAGCCCCCCCTATTTCTTGCTCATTCACTTAGTGTCCCTAAACTTCTTTCCCAACTTTCCAGCCTTCCTGGCATGACCTTCCTTGTAGAATTTTAGACCATAGAATAATAATTATCCTACTTCTGAACATGTGAACTCTATTCTGTCCAAATCTGGGGCACATATGAAACAGTTCCCAACTTTCCTCTCCTTTCACAGACTCTAAGAGTAATGATTTCCCCTCAAAGTTCGCATCTTTCAGCCCTGGCAACCAGTTCCTCCATGTTAAAATACTGGATCAGTAGAGGTAGAAGGACCATGTCAGACCTCGTCACTTTCACTTAAATATACTAGGGAGGTTTAGTTCAAAGATACTCCTAGAAGTTAGAGCTGCAATATGTCTGAGAGATCTTCTAGCCCGGGATGGGGAACCTGTGGCCTTGAGGTCACATGTGGCCCTCTAAGTCTTCAAGTGGAGCCCTTTGACTGAATCCAAACTTCACAGAACAAATCTGCTCAATAAAAGGTGGTCATTGTTAGTGTTTTCTACTGCCCATATCAATGAGGTCCATGGCCCAAAACACACTCCCTCATTCTAGTACTCAAATGTTAGCAGATACACTTCTTGTCTCCCTTGATTCATTCACCTGCAGATGTAAAATTCTTATAAAGTTCTGGTGCATCTTCAACTTTAATTATCCATTAGTTAGCACATGACTTTGAACAAATTCCTTAATCTCTCCAGTCCTCAATTTCTTCATCTTTAAAATGGAGGTATTTTTCCAGGTCAAAAGTCCCAATCTGCTGTGAAGTAAGACAGTTATGGGTATAATAGAAACTGTCTGTAATTGGTATCTAAAAGCAAATCTATTAAAGTTAGGGCATCTCCATTACACAGATGTTGTGCCTAATCGCTTCTTACTTCAGAATAAGACAATAAGCAGATGAACAGTGGCAACCATGTACAGACATGTGCACTCTAGGCTTGTAACACCATCATGTCTCTCAGCAAGGCAAAGAGGGCCATGCAGTGGTCTTTATCCAAAGTGCTGAACTAACTGATTCCAGTCCACAAACTGCATGAGGAATTTTTAAGATAAGCGGCCACGTAACAAGCATGTGCCTCATTCCCAAAAACTCTTACACACACTTGCTTTGCCCCAGCCACAGACACAGCCTTCCAGGTACATCTAAGGCTCTCTTTCCCCAAGAGCCACCGACTCCTTGAGGAACAGCCTCTCTCTGTACTCTCTTAATTGCTTTTCCTGTATGGAATGCATGCTTCTCCCTTTAGATGTCTCCCTTCTGAAGAAGCCAAGAAAAAACTAGCAACTAGCATATGTTTCATATGAAGAAGATAGAGGATTGTCAGTGAAGCAGTCATAAGGTACTGCTGTTAAATTTATTTCAGGAGCTGTTGCATATTCTGATGGCATAGATGAGATCATATTGAAGCACACCCCAAGGACCTATCCAAACTATTTCATTTTATTGGAATTTTCTCATGCTATTGCTTAAAATAGGTCAGCTATCAGTGGCTTTGAAAGCATTTTAGTTAGAAAAGTTTTTGTAATTAAGTTTTTTATGGGGTTTGTGTTTGTGTTTTTGGGAATAGGGTGTGACCTGTTGGACAAACCAGTAGAATTTCCTGTTCTCTAATGAATGCTCTGAAGTGTATCTAACTTTTTTTTTTGTGCTTTACAAAATATGATGAGAGCAAGCAATATGAAAAGTGCCATGAAATCAACTTTTTAAGGCAAATTCAGTTGGAAATGTAGAAAGAAATCTTGGGTCAGTCAGTCAGTAAACAGTGGGGATGCTTTGCTGGAGTTTAGCAAACTGAGGGAGGAAGCCCAGGATGATCTGATAATTTCTTATTTTGACTAATTCTTCTTTTTTTAAATTAATTTATTTTTAGTTTTCAACAATCACTTCCATAAGCTTTTGAGTTTAAAATTTTTCTCTCTCCCACCCTCCTCCCTCTCCAAGACAGTGTGCATTCTGATATAGGCTCTACGTATACATTCCTATTAAACATTTTCACATTAGTCATGTGTAAAGAAGAATTAGAACTAATAAGAAGAACCATAAGAAAAAACAAAACAGAAGAGGAAAAAAAAAGTAAATAGTGTGCTTCGATCTGTATTCCAACTCCATAGTTCTTTCCCTGGATTTGGACAGCGTTTTCCATCGTGAGATTTTTGGGGATGTCTTAGATCCCTGCATTGCTGAGAAGAGTTAAGTCTGTCGAAGTTTTGACTAATTCTTCTTACTTCAGTGCCAAGCCCGTTTTTTCCTGTGTTGCTGGAGGGTGCTTTCCAGTGCCCTTTGAATTTTGGCAGATGTCTTCTAATTTTGGCCCCAGTCACCTTGCCCTGTTTAGGATTCTGTGCCAGTGGTTTAGGTAATAAGTGTTGTCATAGTTTATAGAAACTGCTGTGGGGGTTCTTTATATGTCTGGGTTTCATATACTCGGATTCGGATGGTTCTTAACTTCGGTATTCAAGGCCTTTCACAGTGGAGCTCCAAACTACTTTTCCAACATTATCTTACCCTACTTATTTTATTTTTACCTGTTTTCCAGCCAAATTTTTCTGCTTATTCTTCTTCAAACATAGCCCTTGTTTTTTTTACCCCTGTAGGCTCATAGGATAATAGGATCATAGATTTAGTGCTGGAAGGGACCCTGGAGGCCATCTACTCCATGCATTTACTCATGCCATTTTCAGTGACTACAGTGCCCTTCCCCCACATCTGTTCTTTTGGAGGCCCCATTCAAATGTTACCACTCTAATGTAGCCTTCTCTGAGTCTCATGGCTTATTATATCTTGAATTCATACTCCATTTTGTGTTATTACTTTCTTTGTATTTGTGTACATGACATAACATTCCTTTGCTTGTCTCATCTCATCCCCCCCCCCTTTCGACACACTCCCACCACATATACATTCTTTGAATCCAAAGACCATATCTTTCTTATATTTAACTGCTACCTTTGGAGCAAACAAGTCAGACAGCGTAACTGAAAAAGCATGATACTCTGGAGGAGAGACAGAAGACCCTACCTCTACTCCCACTCAAACCCTGATGGAGATATCCGAGGACCCTGAGCCCAAGAGTTCTGGGAATAGTAGTGACCTCCAGACCATCGATCCTGCTTCCAATCCACAACCCCGATCTGTGAAGAAGGGGCCCACCATCCTTGCCACCAACAATGCCAACTGCTGACCAGTTGCCATCAACAGGCAGGGCTGCAACTCCTACCTCCCTAGTAGCCACAGCTGCTGAAGTTCTGGAAAAAAAAGTTCTCATCACCAAAGTCTTTGGCACTGCCAAACAGTTCAACATGAGAACTGGATATGGTTTTGTCAGTGGAAATGACACTGAAGAAAATGCATTACCCTCTGCTTTGCCACTATACACCAAAGACCATGGGAACTCTCCCTCTGACTTGCAACTGAAAGCCCTGATATGTGTTGTCTTCCTTATTCAAATGTGAACTTAATAGCAAGGCTGTCTCCACTTTCCTATTTGTATTTCCAGTGTTTGTCCCAATGCTTTGTACATAGTCAGTGCTTAATGAATATTTTTTCATTTATTCATCCATGTTGTATCTCCCTTAGTATCCAGCAGAGTGACATGCATAGGGCCTCAGTAAGTGTTTGTTCAATTGGATTGGTCAGTTTGAGGAAAATAAAACCCTTGGGAAAAAAGAAGCTGGAGATGAAGGCACTGCCATTCTTGCCTTTTTATCTTTTGCCTCTGTTACCTGTTAGAAGATAAGGATGATATTTTGAGATTTTAAGGGTTACTGTCAACAGTGCCTACCTTTCAGAGTTGTGAAAAATAAGATAATATTTATAAAGCACTTAGCACATAGTAGGTGCTGTATAAATGCTTATTCCCTTCTTTCCTTTCTTGATTTTTTATTCTGTGACTTATCAGAAACTGTCCTGTTTATGTTTTCAGGGTTTTTCATTGGAGGACCCTCCAATATGATTAGTGCTGCTATTTCTGCGGATTTGGGTCACCAGGAGCTGGTACAAGGGAGCAGTGAAGCTTTGGCCACAGTTACAGGAATTGTTGATGGAACCGGGAGTATTGGAGCAGCAATGGGCCAGGTGAGATTATCAAAGGAAAATGTTTTAGTTTTTTTTTAATATATATAAAATTAAGTGTTTTTTTTTTTCATAAAGCTAAATCAAAAGCAACCTCCCAAAAAAACTTGCATATTTGACATTTCAGATAAATAAGTAATTAACACAAATCTATAAGGCCAAGATCAATTCTCAAATAAATAAGGGTTTGTGATACAAAGAAACTTATTTTCCAAGAAACCTTGGCATAGTTACCTGATAAAAATGACCTTTCTCACACACTTATGTCTCTTTTTTTATTATTATTCTTAATTTATTTTGAATGATCAACAATCACTTCTATAAGCTTTTGAGTTTTAAATTTTTCTCCCCCTCCCAGGTACGCAATCTGATATAGGCTATACATATACATTCCTATTAAACTTATTTTCACATTAGTGATGTTGTAAGTAAGAATTAGAACAAATAGGAGGAAACACCAGAAAGAGGAAACAAAAACACAGGAAAATGTTATTGTTAAAGCATGTTAAATATTTCTCTGAAGATGGAGGAATTCATCTTTACATTACAGTATATGATACTCCTGTAGTATCCTAGAGTTCTCCAACTTTTTAATCTTCGTGGGTGTCAAAAGCTTGTGGGGAAACCCTACTCGCTATCACCTTCTACCATAACAGTGCCACTTAGATATATCCCTCATTCTGTTCTCTTTTCCCCTCTCATAGGAAAGAATATTTTTTCATTTATTCATCCATGTTGTATCTCCCTATCACAGGAGCCTTCTGTAGCCTATTGTTCTTTTTTTTTTTCTAGCCTTTGAGAATGAGGTTCCCTCCTTCCTTGCAAGGCTGAACCCCTTTGTTTGTGCCTTTGAACTCATCTTTTCCCATCTCCCTCAGGATCTTGCCCCCATCAGTCATTCCCTTCTTTACCTGCTGGCCTCTTCCCTGCTACCTACAGATATATTTACCCTTTCCTTTCCTTACTTTTGAATTCACTATATTTTTCTTTCACTGCCAAACTCCTTGAAAAAGTCGTCTCTGCTGGTTGCCTCCATTTCTTTACCAATGCTCACTACTTAGTTCCTGTCTTGTTTCCAATCTCACAGCACTACTGAAATGACTCTAACAAAAGAGGTGTGTTTACTACTCTTCTGGTCTGTGAGTGACCACACGCATTCTTTTCTGCCCTAGAACTGTGACCAGGATCCCCACTCGCCTGCAGTTGCATGCTCTAGTGTGCTAGTACTTCTCACCCTAGGACTATGAGATTTAAAAAGATCAATCCCCAGTTCCATTAGCATACCCCCTCTGCCAAAACTTCAGTATGTTCCAAAGAGGAGCTCATCCAACCGCTGCTGAAGTTTGAAAAGGCTTATGGTTCCATGTAAAGATTTCTTTGAAACATTCTGGGCTAAGTGTGCATGTATGTATTTGTATGTCCTGCCTGTCTCTTTGTTCCTCCTTTTCCTTTCTTTCAGTGAAACTGGTTCATCACCACTTTATGTGGAATCGTTAGCCTTTTCAAATCTCAGCCCTGGGTAATGGGCTTTGGGTATCCACCTACTCTTTTTCAGATAATATTTACATAGCCTGCATATTATTACTAGATAAGCCCTATGTGTCCTTCTTGTCACAGAAATATTGAAAAATGTAAAGCAGGGGTGGGGAACCTGCAACCTTGAGGTCACATGTGGCTTTATAGATCCTTGGGTGTGGTCTTTTGACTGAATCCCAAGTTTTATGGAACAAATCCTTTTATTAAGGGGGTTTGTACTGTGAAGTTTGAATTCAGTCAAAGGGCTGCACTTGAGGACCTTACAGGGTCATAGGTGGCCTCAAGGCCACAGGTTCCCCACCCCTGGCATAACTTCTCTCAGAATTCTGAAGTTATTAAAACTCAAGACTCTACTGAGACTTTTAAGGCACTCTATGTAAGATGGTAGTGAAATCCTTAGTTCAAGTATTTGAAAAGTGAGAGACCTGTGCATATCCCTTGAATACCATTATTAAGTCATTACCCCAAGGAGAACAAAGAAAAAGGAAAAGGACCCATATGCATAAAAATATTTATAGCAGCTCTTTTTGTGGTGGCAAAGAATTGGAAATTGAAGGGTTGCCCATCAATTGCGGAATAGTTGAATAAGTTGTGGCATGTGAATTTGGTGGAATACTATTGTGCTGTAAGAAATGATGTAGTTTCAGAAAAATCTGGAAAGACTTATACGAACTGATGTAAAGTGAAATGAGCAGAACTAAGAGAAAAATCTATATAATAACAACAATATTATAAAGATGATCATCTGTGAAAGACTTAGTAACTGGTCAATGCAATGATCCAGCACAACTCTAAAGTACTTTTGATGACAAATACTTTCCACCTCCAGAAAGAACTAATGGACTGAGTGCAAATTGAAGTATATTTTTTTTCCTTTTTTTTTTCCTCATTGTTTTTTTCCCCTTGAAATATGGCTAATGCAGAATTATGATTTATATAACTTGTGCATAATGGGTTTCATATTTCTTGCCTTCTCAATGGATAAAGGAGGGGAGGTGGATGAAGGGAGAGAATTTGCAACTTAAAATTAAATATAAAGTTATTTTTGAAAAAGTAAAAGACCTACCTCTAAGCCTGGGAAAGGTTTTGTAATGTATTTTAAGAGAGGAAAATAGTTGTCTGAAAATGTTCATCTTGTCCTCCTGTAGGGTGAAGTGGATCAAAGGTAAGCCTTTTCAACTAATAATTGTTACCTATCATACCTGATAGGAGACAATTGGGTTAGGAAAAGGCTTTTGCGTATGCATTGAATTACTAGGCTCTCAAAACTGTGCATTAATAGAAAACTTCACTGCCTTTAATCCTTTCAAATAGTTGTGTTTGATCTTGTTTTAGTCATTCAGTTTTATTAATGGATGTGCAATCATATTGTGATCTGTTCTTTTATGTTCAGTTTTTAGTGTCTTTGATTCAGGACAACTTAGGCTGGATGTGGGTTTTCTATTTCTTCATTTTAATGGTAAGTGTATATATTCTTTACTAATTTTTTTGAAATTTTGTTTTGTCTTAAGACTATATTTTAATTCATGCAAGGAAAGAGAACTGATTTTTTTTTTCTTAAACATTCATTTGTAAAAAAGTGCCATATTTAACAGTCCATAAGATACCTCTTTTTTTCAGGGGAAAAATGGGCCTGTATTAGCCTGCATTTTGTAGTCCATTCAGTGTTGGATCTCTGATTCAAGGAAAATCAACAATAGAAGACAAAGTAGCGTCATTGATTATTAAATTACTCAGGATTATCCACTGGTGAAAGTCAGTTATCCCTAAATTCTCATATTAACAATCTACTTAGTCTAGGTATAAATAGCTAATTCAACCTCTGCTTATGGTCAGCACTGGAAGCTTTATTGAAGCTAATAATACTAGGGTTACAATATTAGGATAAAGATGGTGGTGGGCAATGACAGTGGGTAGAAAAATTACACTGTGTTTCTATGCTGTCTATAGAAAACACTTTACTTCCATGTAGTATCTTTCAGTGTCTAGAAGTTGGCACTCTCTTAATACCCTACTTCTAGCAAGGGCCATATCCATGGAACTTGGTCTCCTTGTGTCATCCTTTTAGTGCTCCTGGTGGAAAGAAAACAGGATCCATGATTTAAAAATCCTTTGTTCAGTCCTAATTCCACCAGTGATCTGCTGTTTGGGCAAATTATTTTCTTTTTCTGCCCCAGATGGAGTTTTCTATGATATTCTAAGAGAAATTAGTTTAAAGTGTTTGTGTTTTTCTGAGACTGTTTTCTTTTCACAGACAAGTTGTACAGTTCTGTTCATCTCACCGCTAATAGTGAGGGAAATAAGATCTCTTGTGTTCAGAAGATAAGACGTACGTTGAGTGAATGACCATTGGCCCTGGGAGAGAGGCTGTTGTAGAAAAAACAGAAGGACACAAACTGGGCTGTTATTTCATTTTAACTTCTTCTAAGTCACCATATTTGGAGGAAGTTAGTTGATGGGATAGAGTTCTATTCCTGCCTCAGACTGGGGCTGAGTGACCCCAGGCACATCACTTAACTTCTGTCTACGCCTGCCTCTAGGAGTTGTTGGGGGGATTAAATGAGATAACAAAGCACTATGTGAATGGTAGCTATCATTGTTATTGTTATTGGAGGAAGGGGAAATCATCCAGGAATGGCTAATTCAGCATTATCAGCCGCTGGAGGAGCAGACTCTGAGCAGCCCCTAGACAGAGCAACCATCCACACTACAAGAATGGACCAACTGACCTCTGTGGCCACAGGATGTTCCGTTTTAATTTTCCTGCTCTTCTGGACCTTGTTCAGGTTCAGACCTGTCACCTTGATAGCTGTATCTCTTCTCCAGCAAACAACACTAAACCTTGAGTTTTCAAGTTCAGAAAAAGTGAAGATGAGGAACCGTGGTTTTTATATCAGTGAGCTTCTTCAGCGCTGTGACTTGCCATGATTCTTGTCCATGGTGGCAGTGAATTAAAGGAACAAGTGATTCTGGAAGCATTCTGTTCTGATCAAGTGCATGAGTTGGACTTGAGAATTGTTTTAATTCTTCCTTGGTTGAAAAATTCCTCTGGCATTTCGGTTCTTAAGGAAAAATGATACAACATGCTTAATAATTTAATCACCAGCTCTCTAGCTTTAATTCATTCTTATGGCCACTCTTTCAATCCATTTGGCTTTATTAAGAATTACTTTAACTCCTGGAAGTACTGATTAGCCTTCCTTTTCAAGGACTTATAAGGTAGATTAATTATCTTGGACATTCCGAAATATAACTAGCAACTGAAGTATGTAGTGGCCCAAATTTGCTGCCAAGGAACTTTAATAACTAATGTAAATGAGTTGTAATCCTCAGCCCTGTTATTAAGAGATTGATCTCTGTTCCAGGTGAGCTCCCTAAGCCATTTCAGCAAAGAATCAGACTTGGAAAGGAGTCAGGGACTTGGGTATGGAAAGGAGCCTGTGACAGTTGAGAATCAACATTAGAAAAGTGGTAAGGTCTGGGAGGCAACTGTTTTATAGAAAAATGAAAACCATCTCCAAGGACATGCATTCTGTGGTAGTCATCAGCATTAAGGGTTGGGGGTGGGGTGAGTGGGTTAAATTATGTAAACTAGCTAGCTAGGGGGGAAACGTGCAATTTTTGAGGTATTTCTGATTATTGAATTGGTTAGGGAGCAGTTTTCAGCCTCCTTATTTTCTGTAATGTGCTGTATTTATGGTTTTGGAGAAAGAATCACTTATCAACCAGATTTCTTAATCAGTTTGTTACTTATTGCTGACAAAAAGGGAAACCTTCTTCGTGGGCTAACAAGGGATGGAAGTCATGGGAAGAGAAGAATACACTGACTTTTATGTATTTTTTTTTTTAATTTTCAGTTCGAAATTCTCTCCTTCCAGTCCCTGTGCCATCACTGAGAAGGCAAACAATACTATACCCCTATACCCATTATACGGGTGATGACTTTTATACTTTTAAAAGTATATAAATTAGTGGGGTTTTTTTAATTTATGTATTTAAGCATTTCATTGTGTGAGCTGTAAGAATTAGAATGTTATTAGTGCCTTAAGATTCTCTGGGATATTGAATGTTGCCCAGTGATGGTTCTCTACCATGTTGGGAGGATTCATGGCTTCTCCATTAGTACACAGACAAGTAACAGCCTCATTTCTGTCATGTTGTTTGAGAGCCTTCCTTCCCCTTTGTTTAATACTGGGCCTATTTTCAGCTAAGTTTAGATAAATTGCATACTTTGAATTTAATTACAGGTAGTAGACCAACCTCTATCTAATCTTTGCTTCTTTCTAGCATTTAATGTAGAGAATTTTTTCATGAATAATCAGCAGTATTTCGGGACCTATATTATCCCTTATTTGTTTAATCAAATCTTAACCCTTGTGGAAAATTAAAGATGTGTAATTCTATGTACTTCTGATCCAAATGTATCACTGAGAGGTTTTTGTCGTGATATGAAATAACTTATTTGGTCTTACACAATCTGAAATGAGGGATACGTTTTAAAGAATGTGTGTATACAAATGTATATATGAATTTATAAACATACATGTATACATGCATGAACCTTTTACTTCCTATTGTTTTATCTCTCTTTAGGAACTATGTAGCATAAGAAAAGCCAACGATAAAATGCCTTCATCCTTTGCTATACAGAAGGTTCTCAGATACCTGTTATTGAAACAAAACTCCTAATCTTTTTAAAAATCTGAAGCAGCTTGGGGGTTTCTTCAAAGGATCAGGGTGGGGGAACATTCTAATAATGTTAAGAAATGAGGTCACATGAATAAATTTTTTTATGAAATGAAATTGGTATTTGTGTTTCTTTCTTGAGAAAATTAAGACTTTTCTTTAAGTTCATTAGTTTTTCCCCCCGCATACCCCTCTACTTCTTTTATCTTTGCTTCTTCCATAGTCTTGGAGGAAGGCAGTGTTCTTTCTTCTGCTTTCTAACTCTGTCTTCCCACACTTTGTTCAGGCCCAGATTTTCCAGATTGTTAGGCTTACATTTTTCAATTTATTCTCTTTGGCGGTGATGGTGGGGGAATCTCCTGGCTGATAGATGTAATGGATTCTTTAAGACTAGTGTTTGGCCTGCTTTTTATTGTGAGATTACTTTCCCAGCTGCTTTTATCTGCTAAGAGGTCTAAGTTATCTTAACTAGGTTGTCTAAGATATTTACCTTAACCAATGCTTGAAATCACTTGTTCTGTGAAGTTTGGATTCAGCCAAAGGGCTGCACTCAAGGACCAAAAAAGCCACACATGGTCTTGAGGCCGCAGCTTTCCCCACTCCTGGAATAGGCAGTAGGAAAAAGATCAAAAAGATGTTTTTAAAAGGCCAAAATATAAATGAAAGGAAACTCCAATGAGAAACCAAGTGATTTCAAGCATTGTGAAGTTTGGATTCAGAGGGCTGCACTTGAGGAGTTAGAGGGCCAGATGTGTCCTTGAGGTTCCCCACCCCTGGCACTCCATGATCAAAAGGACAACATGGGATAACTTTGATAACCGATATAATTGGAAGTCCTAAGTTTCTCTTTCAGGTGGATTGTACTTCAGATTCTGATCAAGATAATGCTTAACCTTGGGGGACTGTTAATAAGAAATCTTACTCCCTTTTATTTTAGCCTTTTTTCCTTATTCTTTTGGAATACTTGATTAACACTAAATCAGCTTCTGTCTAGAGGCTAGGTAGGTGTTCTTCAGTTTGGGAATTTTATAGCCTGCTTATGTCTTTTAGGGAAATTAACTTTCTTTTTCCTTCTGAACTTTGCATCTTTTAAAAAAGTAGTTTTTTGTTTTTTGTTTTTTTTTTAGTGAGGCGATCGGGGTTAAGTGACTTGCCTAAGGTCACACAGCTAGTACGTGTCAAGTGTTTGGTCTGAGGTCGGATTTGAACTCAGGTCCTCCTGACTTCAGGGCTGGTGCTGTATCCACTGCGCCTTTTCTGTTTTGTTTTTTTTGTGGGATAATTTACCCCATTTTACCTTTCCCTTTCTCCTTCTCCTAGTATATTCCTTTCACCCCTTAATTTTATTCTCCAGATAATGACCCCTTCATTTTCAGCTCACCCTGTGCCTTTTATGTATCTATCTATATCAATATATATGTACATATAATTTTTTCCCCTCCAACTACCCTAATACTGACAAAGACATGAGTTACAAATGTCTTCTTTCCATGCAGGAATGTAAACAGTTCAACCTTAATAAGTCTCTTATGATTTTCTCTTTCCTATTTACCTCTTCATGTTCCACTGGAGTCTTGTATTTGAAAATCAAATTTTCTATTCAACTCTGGTTTTTTCATCAAGAATGCTTGGAAGTCCTCTATTTCACTGAATGACCATTTTTTTCCCCTGCAGGATTATACTCAGTTTTGCTGGGTAGGTGATTCTTGGTTGTAATTCTATCTCCTTTGCCCTCTGGAATATTATATTCCATGCCCTGCAGTCCCTTAATGTAGAAGCTGCTAAATCTTGTGTTATCCTGATTGTGTTTCCACAATACTTGAATTGTTTCTTTCTGGCTGCTTGTAATATTTTCTCCTTGACCTGGGAACTCTGGAATTTGGCTACAATATTCCTAGGAGTTTTCCTTTGGGGATCTCTTTCAGGAGGAAATCGGTGGATTCTTTCAATTTCTATTTGGCCCTCTAGTTCTAAAATATCAGGGCAGTTTTCCTGGATAATTTCTTGGAAGATGATGTCTAGGCTCTTTTTTTGATCATGGCTTGCAGATAGTCCAATAATTTTTAAATTCTCTCTCCTGGGTCTATTTTCCAGGTCAGTTGTTTTTCTAATGAGATATTTCACATTGTTTTCTAATTTTTCATTCTTTTGGATTTGTTTTACAGTGCCTTGATTTCTCATAAAGTCACTAGCTTCCAATTGCTCTATTCTAATTTTTAAGGAAGTATTTTCTTCAGTAAGCTTTTGGACTTCCTTTTCCATTTGGCCAATTTTGCTTTTTAGGGCATTGTCCTCATTGGCTTTTTGGACCTCTTTTGCCATTGGGTTAGGCTATTTTTTAAGGTGTTATTTTCTTCAGTATTTTTTTGGGTCTCCTTTAGCAAGCTGTTGACTTGTTTTTCATGATTTTCTTGTGTCACTCTCAGTTTTTCCTCTACTTCTCTTACTTGCTTCTCAAAATCCCTTTTGAGCTCTTCCAAGGCCTGGGACTGATTCGTACTTTTCTTGGAGTCTGGATGTAGGAGCTTTGACTTTGTTGTCTTCTTCTGGTTGTATGTTTTGATCTTCTTTGTCACCAAAGTAACATAATATAGTCTGACTCTTTTTGCACTGCTTACTCATGATGCCAGCCAGTTACTTGAGTTTTAAACTGTTTGTTAAGGTAAAAGTCTGCTTCCAATGTGAAGAGTGTACTGTCCTAAGCTTCAGGGGTTTGTACAGCTGTTTTCAGAGCTACTTCGAAGGACCTGAGAAGTGTCAGTTCTTTCAAGGTGCTATGATAAGGGGCAGGGTGTTTCCTCTCCACAGCCACAAGAAGCTTCACCACATCAGTGTTCCTCCTAGCCCCAAGACCGCTCCTCAGAACTGTGACCCAGATCCAAGCACGGGTAAAGCAAGAGATTCCTGCCTCAGCCCTGGCAAAGAGATCCTTGCAATCCCCCTCTGATCAGCCACTGGAATCCCCTTCAGTCTGTGGGACAGAAGCTCAGGAAACAGTCGCAGCTCCAGGCCGTGCTCGAGACTTGTGGCTGAGACCTAGCTCCTCTCTCACCACAGTCACAGACTTTTCCCACCAACCTTCCACGTTGTCTTTGGCGTTCCTGGGTTGAGAAGTCTGGAAACCGCCACAGTTGTCCACCATTCAGTCCTCTGAGGCCTGCTCCAGGGTCGCTGCAGCCTGCACGCCCACACCAAATTGAGCTCCTCTCCTCTCCTAGCGCGTTATACCTTTCCAATCAACCAGCCAGTCTGTCTTTGGCTGGAAATGTATTTCACTCTGTCTTTTTGTGGGTTCTGCTGCTTTAGAATTTGTTTAGAGCCATTTTTTTTAGGTATTTGGAGGGCTTTGGGAGAGAGCTCAAGACAGTCACTGCTTTCCCTCAGCCATCTTGGCTCCGCCCCCCTAAAAAAAAAGCAGTTTTGAAGAGTGTCTAGAGATCATTATTTAGACACAAATGATGTAGACTAGAGGTTATCCCTCCCTTTTGCTATATGACTGACCCACCTCCATTACACATTTCCTGGCTCATAGTGTTTAGAATACTTGTTTAAAATCATCCATATGTTACAGCCTGTGCATCTACATTGCCTTTTGGATTACCCTATGATATCTATTATTCTGAGATTGTTTCATAATTCACAGCCACATTAGTACCTTGGGAAGAATATTGGTATACATAGATTTTTGTCTATGTAGGGAGGAATATCTTGGGATCATGGAAAATCCAGCATTATTTTCCAAATGGAATCTATCCCACTCTTCTTTTGAATTTTGAGCTTAGCTCATCTATCTGAAACATTAGTGCTGGTGGACTAACTTGGAGGCTGCCCAACTGCGTGTAATAAATAGCCTGGATCACAGGCAGTCTTTTTTTTGTGTATAGACCAATAGGCTAATTTTTAAAAAGTTTTATTGATCTTTGTCTTTACTTCAGTTATTTCCCATTTCCCACTACTCCATATTGAACCTCTCCTTATAACAAAAAAAAAAGCATTCTTGATGCTAGAGAGAGAGCATGTCTAACTATAACATTCTATCCTAGTTTCTACCTCTCTTGACATAATTAAGGACTCATTATCTCTTCTCCAAGACCATTGATTTTTCTGTTACTCAAGAGGTTAACTTCCTTTTAGTGATCTTTTCATTTACATTGTACTGATCTGTGTATCTTTTCTTAGTTCTGCTTATTTCTGTTTCAGTTCATCCAAATCTCTTCATAGTCATCATTTCTTAATTGCACAGAATATTCCATTCACATGCCATGGTGTTTTTGTTTTTTGTTTGTTTTTTTTGGGGGGGGGTGATGTGGCCATTTATCAATCAATGGGCATTCATTTTGTTTCCAGTTCTTAAGTATCACAAGATGGCTGCTATAAATATTTTGGTATATGTTGAATTTTTGTCTATCTTTCTTGGGGTATATACCTGATAGACAGTCAAAGGGTATGGTTGATTTTTCTTGCATTATTCCAAACATCAGAATATTGAACCACTTCACAGTTCCATCAACTGCATTAGTGTCTGTCTTTTCATGGGAGCACTCCCTACTCGAACATTGACTGTTCCCAGTTTTTCATCTTTCATCAGTTTCCATAGTGTGGTGTTTGTTTTAATTTACATTTTCCCCCTTAGTACTAGTGATTTGGGGCATGTTTTCATGTAGTTATTTATAGGTTGCAATTCTTAGAAAAATGTTGTGCCTATTCTTTGATTACTCATTATAGCCCTTGCTGATCTCTTTTGAGGGGTCTTGGATCTCATTACAAATGTATTTTAGTATTGTGGTGATTAGGACACTCGGCATAATATCTGTAAACTGGAATATTGTTTTGTTTCTATTGCATCCTTTGTAGGATATCCTCCGTGGCATGGCAAGCACCTTTCTGGAATCATTACCTGTTTTACACCTTGCCTTCTGTTGTTAGTCAAAACAAAGTTATTTCTGTTGTATCTATCAAGGAATCAAGTGTATGAATTCACACATAGTTAACATACATGTTAATATACACATAGTATGTATTAATATATACATACATATACAATATACACATACATAATATATACCTATGTAATATTAATATACACAGTGTATATTAAAATACTTTGGTCCTAAACA